TGCTGGGCATGGTAGCTCACGCCTATAATCCCAACACTTTGGGAGGCTGAGGTGGGAGGGTCGCTTGACCCTAGGAGTTCAAGACCAGCCTGGGCAACATAGCAAGACCCTGTCCTTAAAATAAAATAAAATAAAATAAAATAAAATAAACAAAAGGCCTGCCAGGCCTCTTTCCTTGCCTACAGGTTGAAACAGACACAGCCTTTCTACTTTTCTCAGTTGCTAGTTGGTCAGAGCGCCCTCATGTGTCTCCATATGGTAATACCCTAAGTCTGTTACAGGATGTGGCATTCTTTTAATCTCAGTATCAATAAAATGTGTAATGGAAATTTTTTTCTCTTCACACTTCAAAGCCCATGCTTGACTCTCGGGCTCCAATTAAGCCATTCCAGCTTGAGTTTAGGCAGGTTTCCTGCTTCCACTCAGGCCTACAGATTTCTTCCTGCTCCCTGCCCACCCCCTTTCTCCTTGGTCATTTTTAGAAGCCCTGGTCTCATGGTTCACACATGTCAACTTGCTTCTACCACTTTCTACTCTTCCAAGCTCTGTAAGCTCTCAAAATAAGATTGTAAGTTCTTTTTTTTAACTAGATACATCAGGTCTTACTGCAGGATTGGGCGGGGGGTGGAACGGTGTGGGTAATTCCAAAGTACTAGGAAATAATTTTTAAAGTGTTTACCAAATATGACTTGTTCCATAGTCTAAGGAAAAGGGATTCAAAATGAGATCTCGTGTAAAGGTCTGACATTTGGGAAGGGGAAAGTGATGTTTGGCAGTGTACATACACACAGACACATACACTGATACACACAACCAGAGACAGTGATATCGGGTACACACACACACCACTCAAACATTCATTCTTGCACACACATTCCATGCAAATAGAGAGAAAGGAGCTCTCTCTCTCTCTCACGGCTTTTTCATTGAGAACTATGATGATATCAGCACAGGTCTTTGGAGGAAAGGAAATTTACATTCTATATCTGGAACCTCAAGAATGTTCCAGCCGGGTGTGGTGGCTCACGCCACTGGGTGTGGTGGGAGGCCAAGGTGGGTGGATCACTTGGGGCCGGAAGTTCAAGACCAGCCTGGTCAACATGGTAAAACCCCGTCTCTACTGAAAATACAAAATTTAACTGAGCTTGGTGGTGCACGTCTGTAATCCCAGCTACTCAGGAGGCTGAGGCATGAGAATCGCTTGAACTGGAGAGGCGAAGGTTGCAGTGAGCCAAGATCACACCACACTGCACTCCAGCCTAGGCAATAGATGGAGACTCCGTCTCAAAAAAAAAAAAGAAAGGATTAAAAAAAAAAAAAAGAATGTTCCCCATTCCCTCCATGACCAAGGGTTATGGACGCCTGAGGAACTTTACTTCCCATATTCCACACATCTGCCTCTCAACTGTTTTGCACTTCTGGATTTTTCTGAATCCATAAGCCCCCATGGCAAACTCCACTGAGAGCCCAAGGATACATGAGCCTTTGGTTTCACCCAAGGGGCGTGTTTCTGAGAAGTTGCATGTAAATTAAATTTTTGCAGATCAACTATGATTTCCTGCTGACATCCACTAAGATTTCTGAGCTGCTCTCTTCATCAAGATAGATTTTCAACGTATGCCTAACACATCAGCTTCTCTGTTCCTCTGCCTTCTGCCATGCTCCCTGAGTTAGTTAAACCTCATCTGGAAAATAAAGGCCAATGAAACATTAAGATCTCTTCTAGTTCTTTTTTTTTTTTTTTTTTTTTTTGAGACGGAGTCTCGCTCTGTCACCCAGGCTGGAGCGCAGTGGCACGATCTTGGCTTACTGCAAGCTCCGCCTCCCGGGTTCACGCCATTCTCCGGCCTCAGCCTCCCGAGTAGCTGGGACTACAGGCACCACCGCGCCTGGCTAATTTTTTTTGTATTTTTAGTAGAGACGGGGTTTCACCATGTTAGCCAGGATGGTCTCGATCTCCTGACTTCATGATCACCCACCTCGGCCTCCCAGAGTGCTGGGATTACAGGCATGAGCCACCACGACCGGCTGATCCCTTCTAGTTCTAATAGTCCAAGATCTAGTAAATAAACCCACAAATATATTAGAGAGGCTGCTATTTGGAAAAGGCATCAGTATTACTACAATTTGCAATGCAAATATCTACTCTACCTCCAGCTTTTTGGAAAGTCATTTCCCAGGGCTTGAGGGGTTTTGCCCCATTCCCTTGGAGGGGTAGCAGATGTTTCACATAACTGGCATGTTAATTTTAGGTGGGTGGGTATTATCCCTTCTGTCTTCCACTCCTTCTACCCTACTCCCTGCTACCAAATTCCAGAGATCCTCTCTACTAAAATAGAGATGGGTGTTGCGGTTCTGGGGAGTGGTGTGTGCAGCTGGTGACCTAGGGTAGAAAGCACTTGCTAATTAAAGATGAAACAAGTTGCAAAGGAGGCACCATGGCTTTGGTCTCTAGCAGCAGAGTTAAGCAAGGGCACATGTATCATGGGTCTGTGGCACTGGTCAGGCGGCTGCCTTTGCAATCTTTGAACTGGAAACAGAGATATTATTCATGCTGATAGGGAAGAGAGTTGTCTGCTTAGTGGTGAGGAAAATTAATAGTCCAACCATTCTTCCATCCTGCATTCTCCATGCTGGCATTTTGACTAAAAAAAAATATTGCTGCAGCTGTTTGCATATTCTGGAAGTGTGTGTGCATGTGTGCGGTTTGGTGTTTACGGATTTGGGGTTGCGGAGAGGAGTCTCCAGAGCAACGGAAGTAACTGCTTGTCAGTCAGGATTCATTTTGAAAATGAAAGCCTGAAAGCTTGGGGCCCATTCTGGGCCTAGGCCTGGTCTCTGAGAAGTCAGCGAAGGCCAGGAGGTGGTGGCTTTGGCCAGTCAACTCAGTGAATAAGCCACTGAATCCCTTTTTTAAAAAATGAATTGACCAAATCTATGAGTTGCTTTTGATGTCCTGCAGAGTGGAGTCTGGGGCAGGGATGTGGGAGCAGGCACTGAGGTGCTGGCTGTGGATACACGTCCCCCACCCCCAACATACACACACACAATCACGTTTTCCCAGGCTGCCAAACCAGAACAAGGTAACAAATATTTCTTGGGTAACTACTAGGTGCACAAGGACAGTATGACATAGCTGTCCAAGAGTTTCTAGTTTGATTGGCATGTGAGAGCAATGGGAGAGAGATGTAACACATGGCAGTCTGGGTGCCAAAGAAGTAGCAGAAACACAGGGCTGGGGAACGAGAGGGATCACTTCGGGCTGGGATAATCAGAGGAGGCTTGCTGGAGGTGGAAACTAAGCGCAACCTTGAAAGAAAAGAACTTCACTACACAGAAGCTCTTCCAGGCAGAGGAGTGTAACTTATAGATACGCTCACGTTACAAGTCTATCCTTTTGGCTGGAATTTGGGGCTTGTATGTGATTTGCAGTTGATAAGCCAGGTTTGAATGCCAGTTCCTGTGTACCAGAACAAAGGCTATGGTGTCGCACAGACCTGCTCTGCCACTTCCTGCTGGGTGACCTTGAGCAAGTAGCCTAACCTCTCTGCAAACTGGGGACAGTAATGACTCCTAGCACTTGAGGTCATTGGGAGGATTAAAAGAGTTAACATATATAACGCAACGAGCACAGTGCCTGGCACATAGTAAATGTTCAAAACCAAATTACAAATGTATAAGCTGTTCTGAAGGAAAGCTCTAGATATTTAGGACTTGTTCCAAACACGTGAGGGCCAAGAAAGAAAAGCTTCTGACACCTTCTGTCACTGCTCTCCACAGGTAGCCCCGGGGGAGTGGGCTGACTTGGCCTGAGCCTCCACCCCCTTGGCCTAGACTGCTGGAACAGTCTTCCGACTTCCTGCCTCCGCACCTCCCAAATCACCTTTTTAACACAACCTCCATCATGGCTGTGTCTCTCCCTGGCTCAACAATCTTCTCTGGCTCCCCGTTGCTCACTGACTGAGCTCTTTAACATGGTGGGGGTGTGGAGGCAAGAACTACCATTTTCTAAGGGAAGGGAAGAGCAAAGAGTACGCTGGTATTAGCAGTAAAAAAGAAAAAATATCCTTTTTTAAAAAAGCTCCTAAGCTTTGAATTTGCAGAAAGTGGGGTCCTGGGGAGAGAGCAGGGATGCATCTCTAAAGAGAACAGGGCGCTCCCGTGGCGCCAGCTCAGATTCACCTGTAGCTGCTTCTCCAAGCCAACCTGAGAAAATTGACGGGAGGGAAGAGGGTGGACAGCTGGACAGAGAGGGCGGTGCAGAAGGGGAATATCCCACCCCAGTTCCCTGGAAGAGCGTCATCCTGGACCCCGGTCTTGGGCTTCTCTGCTGGAATCTTGGGCAGCCCCGGGCGCTGCGGGGAGGGTCAAGGCCACAAAAAGCGCAAGGCAGGCAGACGAGCCAGTCACAAGGGGCAGTCGAGCTGCCTGCGTGAATGCTAGGCGCGGGACAAAGGCAACTCCGGGACAAAGTGCAGGGAGACTCCTGAAGAGATAAGAGGGAAGGGCGAAGGAAGGGGGCGGGGAGCCAGAGCCTCGGAGCTCCAGGACCGCGCTTTGGGAGGCCATGGCTGGAAACCGAGCTCGGCCCGCTGCGGAAGGGGCGCCCTCGAGCCTCTACACCCTAGCAGCGGCTGGGATGCTGAGAACCGGGGCTTCCAGGGCCGCAGGCGAGCTCCCAGCCCGTCCTCGCGCCCGCCCCTCGGTGCTGGAGGCGGGGCTGCCGAGCTCACCTGGCCTTTTGGGGTGGGACCGCCCGCGACCCGGGGGAGCTACAGAGGCAGTGGTACCCAGGGCGCTGGAGCTGAGCTTGCCCTGGGGGCTTGGCTGGAGCTCAAACCCCTCCACGGCCCCCAAGGCCTGAGCGGGGGCCCTCCCCTAGCTCCCTCCCTCCTCCTCCTCCTCCTCTCCTTTGCTCCCTCCCTCCGAACCCAATTGCTCAAGCCGCTTCCTTCCCCAACGCCAGCGCCAGTTCCTCTCCCGTTGGGGCCCGAGAAGGGCAGCGAACGCTGGACACTGGGACGGCCGCGGCGGCAGCTTGCAAGACCATGGCCCAACCCGGAGGGGCCGCGAACCGGGCACCCACGGCCTCTCTGGCGCCGACCGCGCAGAGCCTGCGGTGCGCCCCGCAGCCCCGCCCCTCGAGAGCGGACACTGGTAGCCTGGGCAGGTACTGGGGCAAAGCCGCAGCCACTGCCTCCCGGGAGCCCCCCTTCCCAGGCACGCTGATGCACTCTGGAGCGGGCTCAGGGCGCCGGCGGGGAGCGCTGCGGGAACTGCTGGGGCTGCAGCGGGCGGCTCCTGCCGGGTGGCTGTCGGAGGAGCGCGCCGAGGAGCTGGGCGGGCCCAGCGGGCCGGGCAGCAGCAGGCTGTGCCTGGAACCGCGGGAGCACGCGTGGATTCTGGCGGCCGCCGAGGGCCGCTATGAGGTGCTGCGGGAGCTGCTGGAGGCTGAGCCGGAGCTGCTGCTGCGGGGCGACCCGATCACCGGCTACTCGGTTCTGCACTGGCTGGCCAAGCACGGGCGCCACGAGGAGCTCATTCTAGTACACGACTTCGCCCTACGCCGGGGGCTGCGGCTCGACGTGAGCGCCCCAGGCAGCGGCGGCCTCACGCCCCTCCACCTGGCGGCCCTTCAGGGTCACGACATGGTCATCAAGGTGCTGGTGGGCGCCCTGGGTGCCGACGCTACGCGCCGCGACCACAGCGGCCACCGGGCCTGCCACTACCTGCGGCCCGACGCGCCTTGGAGGTTGCGGGAGCTGTCGGGAGCCGAGGAATGGGAGATGGAGAGCGGCAGCGGGTGCACCAACCTGAACAACAACAGCAGCGGCAGCGCTGCGTGGAGGGCCGCGAGCGCAGTGGGCGCGACGGCTGTGGAGACAAGCAGAAGAGCGGCGGCGTCGCGGACCAAGGCGAAGGACACCGCGGGCAGCCGGGTGGCGCAAATGCATGGCCTTTTCCGCCATCTGTTCCCCTCATTCCAGGACCGTTGACAGGGACAGAGACTGGAGAGCTAGGAGGGGCCGCGACGCTGTGGCGATGGCTAGGTCCTGGGTTGTCCCGGGTTCCACCGAAGGAGAGGCGCCTTGGACGCTGCTTGGGCCTGCAAGGAACAGAACATGTCGGGGTCCAACTCAGGTACTTGTCTCAGGTCTCCTGTAACCACCGGCCTGGAGGACCTGGGGACTCGGGCACCACCTCACCAAGAGAGAGTGAAGGACCAAGCTGGCCTGGCTCCGAGTTCCAAAGCTACACGACTAAGGAGTTGGGAGAAGGGATCGTGGTCCTGCTTGGGAGAGGGCAGGTTAAGCTTCCAGTGGCCATTTCTGGGCAGGCCGACGCGCAGGGTTTATTTTCTTTTTTTCTTTTTTTTTTTTTCTTTTTTTTTTTGAGACGGAGTCTCGCTCTGTCACCCAGGCTGGAGTGCGGTGGCCGGATCTCTGCTCACTGCAAGCTCCGCCTCCTGGGTTTATGCCATTCTCCTGCCTCAGCCTCCCGAGTAGCTGGGACTACAGGCGCCCGCCACCTCGCCCGGCTAGTTTTTTGTATTTTTTTTAGTAGAGACGGGGTTTCACCGTGTTAGCCAGGATAGTCTCGATCTCCTGACCTCGTGATCCGCCCGTCTCGGCCTCCCAAAGTGCTGGGATTACAGGCTTGAGCCACCGACGCGCAGGGTTTATTAGGAAACATTCTCTAGAAGAATGAGTTAAAATTGCGTACCACCAATGCAGAGAAAACGCCTAACTCTGCGGGCCTGGCTCGGCCATTAATGGGGTCTTGGGGTGCGGGTAGAGTCAGCCTCTGACAACCTCCTCCTGAGACGACCAAGCCTTAACTGGTACTTTTTCTCATGTATCACAGGTGACTTCTTATGTATATTAAAGTGGAATATGTGTTCTTTTCACATGACAAGGCTGTCCTTTCAGTGTTTTCCCCCACCTCCCTTACTAACCACAAAGGAAGAAGCTGCATATGTTTGCAGGGTAGAGGTCACCCACCCATGGCCATGATCTCGTGCTCCAGGGCAGGCTTTGGGCCTCCTTCTCAGAACAAATGGCCAGAGCTGTGCACGGAAGAAGCTATTTCCCCCTTGGATCTGAGGAGAAACACACAGTTCACCTCTGTCCTGAGCTCCTTGATGGTCTGGCCTCAGGCACCAGCCTCATGCTAGAAGAGTTGTCCTATAGGGGCCTTGGGTTAGGGGGTAAAAGGCAAAAGTTTCCAAATTTACATTTCTGATATTTCCACGGTTTGAGTCATGTAATTTACCTTGATTTGTGGCCTCTAATGAGACACACCCATGGGCACTTTGTTTTTTCCAAGATGGGGCTTTCTTCAGCTCTTCAGCAGCATTTATTTATTTATTTATTTATTTATTTTTGAAATGGAGTGCAGTGGTGCAATCTTGACTCATTGCAACCTTTGCCTCCTGGGTTCAAGCAATTCTCCTGCCTCAGCCTCCCAAATAGCTACAGGCGTCCGGCACCATGCCTGGTGATTTTTTTTTTTTTTTTTTTTTTTTTTTTTTGTATTTTTAGTAGAGATGGGGGTTCACTATGTTGGCTGGGCTGGTCTCGAACTCCTGACCTAGTGATCCACCTGCCTCAGCCTCCCAAAGTGCTGGGATTACAGGCATGAGCCACCACGCCTGGCCAGCAGCATTTATTTATTGTTACTATTATTATTATTATTATTTTTTTTTTTTTTTTTTTTTTTTTTTGAGACGGAGTCTCACTCTGTCGCCCAGGCTGGAGTGCAGGGGCGGGATCTTGGCTCACTGCAAGCTCCGCCTCCCAGGTTCGCACCATTCTCCTGCCTCAGCCTCCGGAGTAGCTCGGACTACAGGTGCCCGCCACCACGCCCGGCTAATTTTTTGTATTTTTAATAGAGACGGGGTTTCACCGTGTTTGCCAGGATGTTCTTGATCGCCTGACCTCGTGATCCACCCACCTCGGCCTCCCAAAGTGCTGGGATTACAGGCGTGAGCCACCGCGCCCGGCCACTATTATTGTTTTTTGAGACAAAGTCTCGCTCTGTCGCCCGGGCTGGAGTGCAATGGTATGATCTAGGCTCACTGCAACCTCTGCCTCCTGGGTTCAAGCGATTTTCCTACCTCAGCCTCCCAAGTAGCTGGGATTACAAACGTGCACCACCACGCCTGGCTAATTTTTGTATTTGTAGTAATCACGGGGTTTCGCCATGTTGGCCAGGCTGATCTCAAACTCCTAACCTCACGTGTTCCCCTGCCTTGGCCTCCCAAAGTGCTGGGATTACAGACATGAGCCATCGCGCCTGCTCAGCAGCATTTAAAAAATTAAGTTTAAGGCTGGGCACAGTGGCTCACGCCTGTAATCCCAGCATGTTGGGAGGTTGAGGCAGGAGTATCCTTTGGGCCCAGGAGTTCTGGACCAGCCTGGGCAATATAGGGAGACCCTGTCTCTACAAAAATATACAAAAATTAGCCAGGTGTAGTGGTGCAGGCCTGTAGTCCCAGCTACTAGGGAGGCTGAGGTGGAAGGATTGCTTGAGCCTGGGAGGTGGAGGCTGCAGTGAGTAAAGCATTCCACTGCACTCCAGCCTGGGTGACAAGAGTAGGACCCTATCTCTCTATATATATATATTTCACACGTAAAAATTCTTTTTAAAAAGTTAAGTTTAATGCATAAATTGTAGCTTGCAAAATTGCTCCCATTCAGAAATGGCATGAATTAAATAAGACTACAGGAGGGTTGACTCAGCCTGAAAGGTCAGGAAAGCAGTTGCTGGCTACAGACCCATGCTGCCTTGGAGAACAGTGCATTTTAAAAATAGCACTGTATCCCTGACGGTTTGGGTAGCCCTTGCAATGGACTGTCGCGTTCCCCAGCCCTCTCATCCCAGTCCGTGAACACCAGGGAGAAAAAGTCACCACTAACAAACAGCCCAGAAACGCCACCCTGAGCCCATCCATCCATGTTTCCATCTCTGCCTGGTGGGCCTGTTGCCTCTATGCTCAAAACTTTCCTACTTTCCTTTATTTTTTATTTTTGAGATGGCATCTCTCACTCTTACCCAGTCTGGAGTACAGTGGCACGATCATAGCTCACTGCAGCCTCAAACACCTGGGCTTCGGTGAACCTCCTGCCTCAGCCTCCCAAGTAGTTGGGACTACAGGCACATGTTGCCATGCTCAGCTACTTTTTTTTTTTTTTTTTTTTTTTGTCTGTACAGACAGGGTCTCGCTATGTTGCTTAAGCTGTTCTCGAACTCCTGGGTTCAAGTCATCCCCCCACCTTGGCTTCCCAAAGTGCTGGGATTACAGGCATGAGCCACTGTGCCTGGCCTTCCTTTGTCTTTTCTAAATGAACTTCTTTTCTTTAGTAATTGAAGGAGGGAGGGCTAACAGTTCCTGGATTCTGGCAATTGGCATTGGCATCTGGCATTAACCCTCTCCACCCCTGTGCCCATTGTATAGATGCGAAGAGGCCAACTGATGCACGACTGTGGTTTCTGTTCCACAACCTCCCCCTTGACAGCTGCCAAGGTGGGCTGGGCTTGGGGAAGGCTGTCAGGGCAGGGCTTTCTGCTGATTCTGCAGGCTCCTGGCTTGGAAGGAAGATTGGCGTGTGCTGAGCATTCACAGGCCACTTATAACATTAGTCCCCCCTTTATAGGAAAAGTATGAACCTAAGCATCTTAACTGTTAGCAGATCTGGGGGCCTGAGACAAGCGTTCACCCTCCTCTTTCCAAAATGAAAACCAAGTTAGCTGGAAGATTCGAAAACGGCTTTCCATCGTTTTCCTGTAGTCAGCGACTCTTCCCCACAGATTTTTCTCATCATGTGATACTGCCTAGCCTACCTCCTCCATGTAAAATTGAGGTTTGGCTGCAGGGGACAAACTCCCATGCTGAAAGCTCTCCGTGCCTCACATCAAGCCGTTGGCATTTCTGGTATGCTTTTTGAGGCCAGACTGGTATGCTTACCCCAAGAGAAAGAACAAATTCCCCGAGAAACCTCTTTCCAGGGGAGCAAAGTGGAGTTAGGCAGATGATGCAAGACTTCATTCTAGCAGGGGAGCCAAGCAAGAAGAGGAGACGGAAGCAGGGCTGTGATGGATCAGGGGGAGGGGGTGCTGAGGGAGCACAGGAGGCAGGGCCAGATCCAGGTCGAGAGGAATAGAAAAGGCTTTCGTGGAGGAAGGCGGTGCCCGATCTGAGGCTCGAGGGGTGAGTGCGAGTTGACCGTTGAGTGTGGCAAGTACCAGACACTATAAAGGCAGTGGGTTTGGCAGGAGGGTGGAAGCTGGGGAGAGGTTAATGGCAAGGCTGGAGAAGTGGAAGGGGGTCCAGATCACCAAGAGTCTCAAAGGTCATGCTAAAAGAGGTTCATGAAGTTTAGCCAAAAGGTAGTTGGGAGTCACGGAAGGTTTCTAAGCAGAGTAGCATGATGAGATTTTGGAAGATCACTCTGGCAGTCACCTGGAGGATGAATGAGCCAGGGGAGAAAACTGGGGGCAAATGCATCGCAAAAGCAAAATACTTTTAGAGCAATGCTTTCAGAAAAGTCATACTAGCAAGGCTGTATGCCTATAGTTGCTGTTTGCCTGTAGTCCCAGCTACTTGGGAGTCTGAGGTGGGAGGGTCACCTGAGCCCAGGAAGTAGAGGCTGCAGTGAACCACGGTCGTGTCATGGCACTACAGCCTGGGCAACAGAGCAAGACCCTGTCTCTAAGAAAAATAGTCATTCTTCACCCCAAGAAGTTCAAAGATCCCTGTGAGGGCAGTGCCTTTGAAACTTCTCTTTTTTTTCTCCTCCAAAGTCTTTGTTCTAATGAAGCTTACCTAGAATCCTCATGTGTAAATCTCCTCACCCCCTGCCTCTTTTCTAGACAGACAGTCCTACACCGTGGCCCCTGGAGTAAAATTCAAAGCCACTGGTGTGGTGGAAAGCTCTCAGCCTTGCCTGGGTTCAAATCCTACCTCCCGATTCATGACCTTGAGCTACGTGCTGGCCTCTCTGAGTGGCAATTTCCTCATCTGTGAAATGGGACCAACAGAATCTTTTTTGCAGGTTTGTTCTGAGCATTCAAGATAATGTATGTGCAACATCTGGCACACTGGGTGACACACAGGGAATAGAAAATAACGGCTGTTTGAAAGAATCCTAAGGGGCTCAGCAGGTTCTTCTGGTGAAACTACATTATCTGCTAGGGTAGTCCGGGAGGGATCTTGTGGTTTACCTGCATTATGGCAGCTTTAAAATGAGTTTGCATTTATTGCAAGTTATTTTCCATCTGTGCCAGAGGAGTGACTGCTCCTCAAAGGAGATGTTGGTTCCTCTGCTGATGTTCTTCACAAGCTATATATTTTTACTTTTGACATAACAACCACTTGCTGAAGTGCTTAGCATGGCTAAAAGGGATCCAAGTGCTAATAGTCAAGAGG